GTGGCAGTGGCCCAGAGGGCGGTGCTTGGATTTTTTTTTTTTTTTTTTTTTTTTTTTAAGATGTACAGCAGGCTACGTCAGAATGTATGGATCCTGACTCCAGGAAGACATGCGCTGTTTTGGCTTTATAACACGAGACTGCATACATCAGCATGAATCCTTGTAAAGAGAGGGGATTAAATAATATCATTGAGGCAAATAGGGAGAAGGAAACTTTTCAGGGGTGAGCCTCTGATCCCAGTCTTGGTGCAGGGGGATCGGAAAGGTGTGAGTGCTGCTGGCTGGGAACAGGTGTGTGTGCGCTGCACTCAGCTCGCTCGCTGCTCTTGATCTCCAGCTCTGAGGCTGCGGCTCCTGACTGTGGCTCTCCATCCAGCTCGCAGAGTGGTGCAGCAGCACGAATTGGGCTGGGTTTAAGGTAGCCTTGCTGCCTGCCGTGCCGCGTCCTCCCGGGTCCTACAGCCCACTGCCTGCATTACCTCGTACGATCAGCTCTGCGGCACGGTGACCCGTGTGCACTGCGGTACGGGGGTTCGGGGCTGCTCAGGCTCGCTCTGGATCCAATAGAATAAAAAGTAAAGTTGGTGTTGATTTTGGACTGCAGTGTTTTGTTTTGTTTTTTGTTACATTTATCTGCAACCAAAACAAATGAATGCTCTGTTCTGATTTGCTCGAGAGCTACTTTTATAGTACATTTAGTTCTCTTTTTATTTTATATACAATGCTTGTGTTTACTTTTATTTAAAGTGGCACTAAACTCAGGAGTTCAATCTTAAGGCCTCATTCAGACGGGCGTACACGTCCGTGCAGCGTGCACGCCTGTACACGGCCGATCCCGGGAGGGGCAGGTTCTGAGTGTGATTGCGCGCAGCAGCCTGTTCTTCCCCATGGGAAGACACGGCTGTACACTGTCATACGCACACCCGAATGGCACATGTGTGCGGGTCCGGGTGTCCGCACTTGGATGTGCACTGTCTACCTCCAAGTGCAGACACCCAGACCCTCACAGATGTGCAGTTCAGGTGTGTGTACGACAGCGTACAGCCGCGTCCTCCCATAGGGAAGAACAGGCTGCTGCGCGCAATCACACGCAGCACCTGTTCGTCCCGGGATCAGCCCGTTTACAGGCGTGCACGCCCGTCTGAGTGAGGCCTGAAAATGCGTTCAAGTACCTTGACTATTATCAAAAATTTAGCTTATTTGTGTATCGCTCGGCTGTAGACCCTCAAATCATCTCTGAATTGGTGCTGACATTGTCCTTCCTTCTGGAGGGTGGCTACCTTTGTTACCCATGGTCCCTGTGTGTGTTGGAAAGTAGTCACCACTCCAACCTGGCTCCCGTGATGGACTATAACGTCAAAACAAATTAGTAAACTAAATGTGAGATTGTAGTCCATCACAGGAGGGAGCTTGGAGTGGTGACTACTTTACAACACACACAGGGACCATGGGAACAAAAGTAGCCAACCTCCAGAAGGAAGGACAGTGTCAGCACCAATTCAGAGATGATTTGAGGGTCTACAGCTGAATGATACATAAATAAGGTACATTTTTGTTAATAGTTAGGGTACCTGAATGCATTTTTAAGGTTTAACTCCTGAGTTTAGTGTCACTTTAAAGAGGAACTCCAGGTTTTTCAAACATTCACCCTTGCACTGGGGCTACTTGTGCCTCAGGCGGCATCTTCTTGGGGGGCAGTCAAAGCATCTTAGGTTGCTAAGAGCTCTTAGCAACCTGTGACGCTCAGCGCGGCTTCCCACCCAGATCCCTGATGATACCGGTTGCCAGGAGCTGAGCTGGATGCTCTGGCTGTCGCCCCACCGAGCTCCTGGCAACCCGTGACAGGTTGACAGGGTGCTGGATAGAGCCACTGACAGCACGGCCCGGCATCCGCCCTAAGCCCTCTTTGAACACAAATAAGCACATCAACCATGAGGACATTCTCTTTCAGCACCCCACCCAACCCTAACCCCCCGGGACAACATCGCCTATGGTGGCAAAAAAACTTAGGGACAGCCTTGCGTGCAAATATAGAAAATATACTTACCTGATCCTTGATCCCACTTGACTGCTAGACCGGGCAGACTGGGTGTGTCACCAGCAGACCAGAATGAAGTGTCAAAAAACGCCTTTATTGACGCAAGCAATCATATCACAAAGAGGATAATGCTTCGGAGCTACTCAGGGTCCCCTCATCAGTCTTATTATGGTCAGTCATCTAATGTGCTGGTGACACGCCCTATCTGCTTGGATTTGAGCTGTGCCATCCACAGCCACTTCAGCACCCACTTCCAAGGAGAATACTGGTAAGAAGTACGGTGGGATACCTATTGTATTTGCTGCTAGATTGGCCTTAGCAGCCTCTTCTCTCCCAGGGCTCCGGCGGTCTGAACCCCACATCTATGCAAAGTTCATTCATCTGCATCTGGCCATCCACCTATAAATTATCTGTAGATTTTCTATGGTCAGATGGAAAAAGTGCAACAGATTCCTCCATCTACGCTAAACTGAGTGGATGGAGGAATCTCCCACTGGGCCAAGCTTCAGTATCTTGCTAGTCGGCCCCGATGGCTCTCAAAATACCTGAACAATGCCTGCATCCAATTAAATTGTTCAGGTATTTTGACAGCCAGCGGGGCAGACTAGCAATATAAGGAAAGTTTGGCGCAGGGGGAGATTGCTCCATCCACAGAGTTTAGCGTAGATGGAGGAATCTGTTGCACTTTTTCCATCTGGCCATAGAAAATCTGCAGATAATCTATAGGTGTATGGCCAGCTTTAGACTTTGAGGATGCCCAGGAACATATCACAGCCGGAGTGGAGAGGGAGAGAAGTGAGTGGTCAGCACTGCAGGATCGAGGATCAGGTGAGTGTATCTTCTTTATTTAAATTAAAGCGGAAGTTCACCTTTCGGACCATGTTTCATGTTACACACATATACTGTATTTAGGGTGTAACATGAATCAAGGTCACATACTCCAACCTACCCACCCTCAAAACTGCCCCCCTTTTACCTGAATTTTGGGGCTCTTCTCTCTCACTGAATTCAGCATGGCCCTTATGGTTCCGGCCAATCAGCTGCTTCATCCATTCTATGAATGAAAATACTATAAGTCCGATCAGCCACTGCGGCAGAGGGACCTGTAGATCTGAATAAGTGACATTGCCACACTTGCAGTCAATTGATTACTTCCTCCAGCCCCATAACAGTAGGCTGGTACTTCGGTACGGAGATGGAGTTGGAGGAAGAGTCAACAGGAGCCTGGGCATTGCACCCGTGAGCCACTGGTCGCAGTTGCAATGCTTTGCAGGCTCCAATGTTCCGATGCTGGCGACGTACACTGTACGTCGTCAGTCACGAAGGGGTTAATAATTGCACATATTTATTTGATATGTTCGCGGGTCCATTTATTATTTTTTGCAAAAGTTGGACTATGTCTTTAAAAGTAGGTATGGTGCGTGGACTTCACGAACAAAAAAAAGTAAGTAGTGAGGAATTTAAAATCTACATACCAGCTAAGGAGAGTCTCTAATGGAATGGGAAACGTTTATGTCAGGGTTCAGAGAACTTCAGCCAGCAGTAGACATAGTTTGTTTAGTCTAGAGGGTGTGTAGGGTAACACAATACTTACCTTATCCCTTGCTCTCCATCGTGGTCTCCACTGGCCTCTTCCACTCCAGGTATGTGGGTGGGCCCTCAATGTCCTTACATACAATGTAGGACAGCTGCTCCTGCATTATACTTGGTGACATTGAAGAGCCCGCAACTGGCCGACTGGCAAAGAGGAGCGGGTTTGTGGTACCAGTTGTATGGCAGGGAGCTGAGGGAAGGGTAGGGTAAGTATTCCTGTACTGGGGGAAGGGACACATGATAGTAACATTTTACTGCTGACTGGAGTTCAGATTTAAGTGCACTTTATTTACAATAACAGAATTATACTAATTCGAGCCACGATCTCGGCTGGCTGTTAGACCGGTCCTGCAGCCTGCCTCCTGCTCCTCTCCAGCGATGGAATGTCCCGTCACATCCTATACGCTGTATAGGACGTGATGACTCATAGAACCTTAGCAAAGGGGGGGGGGGGCAAGACTGCAGGGAGCAGTGTAGGAGCAAGCCGGGTCGGATTATCGGGCTAGTAGCCCAACTGCAAAGGTTAAGATTTTATTTTCCTGGAGTTCTTCTTTAAAGTAAATCTGTACTGTGACCATTCCACAGCAGCAGCCCTGTACTGCCACTGCCCACAATGTATGTGTCAGTGCTCTGCATTAAAAAATAAAAAAAGTTTTCTATTGCCATGCATTGGCAGGCCATATTAAATGAACGGACTGCCTCAAGGCAGCACACAAAGTACCCCATGTTAATGTTCTTGTGGTAACACACCGGTATGTATATACTCTATGTATACC